TTGATGCAGAAGAGTGGTCGAAGAATGGTTAGGCGAGGTGATACGTGCGAGACAATGTAACCGATGATGCACAAAAAATCAAATGCCTCCAGCGTTCCTCGAAGAAATTTTCCTCACGAATACGTGGGGCAGCGGACTGTGGCTTCATTTGGCTGCCGCACGTTTTCCTCTTAGTGCAAGGCGATTGCGACATAAAAGCTACGTATTCCGCTGCTTTGATAAGGGCGTCACGCGGCGTTGATGCAGACCACATTCGAGTGGCGAGTCGCTGAAAGTCGTTGACCTAACCTTTTGACCCAATATCCATGGCATCCTTAGAACCTGAAACTGAACTTCTTGACATCATCTAACGTGGGCAGTGAGATCTAGCGTACATCCCTTATACTCTGGAGGTAAAACTTTTCCCCTAGACTGAGCAGCCGTGCTTATTTTCCACCACAGGCAATCGCTGACCCATGTTAATCAAAGAAGCCATCTAGCAACTGTTTGCTAGACAATGAAGCCTCGCGGGGTCTAGCTTTATCTGGGCTATTAGAAACCATATCCTGGAACTCTGCTGAAGAATGAACGTTCCCTGTATCTCGCGGCTCGACCCGCAAAATCACCCCGCGCCACGAGAGGCGATAGACATTGCGGGGATGATTAAACAGAAGGACGGGAAATTATAAATTGTCGAATAAAATGGTCAATCACTCAAGCGTACTGGTAGGAGAGTTTTACTAAATGAGTCGAGATGCACAGCTCTGCGAACAACTCCTTGCTTTGAACATATCGTCTCCTATTCAAAGAGCTTTTTCCCACCATTGCAAGTTTTCAACAAATACCAGGCCGATAGAATTGATATTGGTCCTCACATGTACGGAGGCGGCTGTCAAATTCCTTATAACTTAGACTATATGTTGGTCGTCTTATGCTTTGGCCTTCATGTACCGCCAAAAGATCCAAAGGCTTGCAAGCGTTTGTCCTAGGTAAGAAATTGGAGAGAACCATCGCCTTTTTTATGCTTAAAACGAAATTTTGACGGCATTTGAAGCATTCTCTAAAAATTGATTCGCTCATCTCTATAGTGAAAAACTAGTTACTCGATTGAAAACAGGCCTCTAAGGGTGGAAATTTTGCAGAAATAAAGCCGGGCGTTAAATTTTGCAATGTAGTATATGACAATCACCTAATGGTGTTTGGCAGGAAGCAGCAAGCCTAAATGGTGTTTTGAAGTGGAAACTGGCGCATAGTCAGTTTGTCAACAGACGTAATTTTGGTTTCATTCGATCAATTGTTAGAGTAAAGCGCTGACGATACATATGGATGGGTATTCAAGACTGCTGTAGAAAAAAGAGTAAATTTGAAATATGCTTGGAATGTTCTAAATCTTGGGATATTACACAAGAAAATGCAAATTTGTTTTTAGAGCTGTATATCGCAAATAATTCGAAATTTTGTCTTTGAACCGATGTGGGCCAAACTTTGCACACATACTTTGGTTCAAAGGGAAAGGATAAGATAGCCTAAATTATTTAAATAACTATTGATTTCACTTTTATTTGCTTCTGCATTTTTCTTAAGCTGCTGAAAGTTTGCGCACAGATGGACCGAGCTAATTTTGATGATCGTTAGGGAATTAAAGGAGGGATGTTTATCGGCCTTTTTTTTTATTTTTCACTTCAACACATTGGGGAACTGGAAATCAGCAATGATATACACATTTTCCCAGGTAAAATGCTGCAAAACGGCGCCTTGTCTAAAACCGTCGCTTACATTATTATTGGTGATTTAGAGCGAAATTTCTTGTTAAAAAGGGCATTTGCTACGACTAGTTTCCCTGTAGTCAGCTTATGTCTCACAAATGGTATAATCT